CCCCCCCCCCCGCCAACCCCCAGCTAGGGATGAATCGCGCTTGGTAAGTGCAAGTGATGTTTTGAAGATTCTAAGTGAGCTGGGATGTGGCTTTGTGGTAGAGAAACTACCTAATACGCTCTAGGCCCTGGGTTACATCCCCGGAATGGCAAAAGTGGATAAATAAAAGGTTTCAGAGGGCACCGGTGCTCTGCTCCGTCGGCCCCCCTGGCTCACAAGCTCGGTCCCTCTAGCTTTCTCAGCTTCACCGCCTCTGCCTCCACTAATTCCTCAAACTTGGAACCTGCCTCAGCCTGGAAAGCATCTTTCTTTGGGGCGCCGGGGCTGTCCCTCAGCTCTAGTGGACCCAAAGAAACCTCCCAGCCTCCTCTACCCAAAGTGTAGCCACATGCCTCCGCACCAAGGTGCAACTAAATATCCGTATGTGGGTTTCCTTGGGGATTTTTGTGGACCCCAAGGAGAGAAAGCCCGCGTCTGTCTGTGAGCCGTGCTGAGGACTGGACCTGGAATTCAGTAGATGTTGAGTGTATCTAGAATTCCTACCCACCGCGGACCCCAGAGTCCAACGCAGATCCAGAGGGCGACCGGCTGCATAGTGCGCACGCGCAGGAGCGCCCGTCAGCGTGGAACTCTGCGCTCCAGGAATGGCCGAGAGTGACCTCCCGAGGCATCACGGCAAGGCGGATGCACCCGCCTTGGCTGAACCGGGCCCCGGGGATGCGCCAGCCTCACGCAGGCAGCACCGGAGCCCTGTCCACGCACCTTCGATGTCGGTCAGCAGCGCCGCGTCCAGCTCGCACGGCTCGGCCAGTGCCTGCTCCAGAGCCGGCTCCCCGAAGGGCAGCCCGTCCATGGCCTACCGGGTCTCGAGGTGGCTGGAGCTCAGGAAAAGTTCCTAGGAAACTGGGGTCCGCGGGCGGGGCTCGCGGGTGAGCTAGGCCAGGCGGTTAGCCCCGCCCCTCCACGCGGACGGCCCCGCCCACCCAAGACTGGGGACCTGTGCTCCCGACTGCCCAGCTGGAGGCTGCGTCTCCGCAGTTCCTGCTCGGCGGGTGCTCGGGCTCCGCGCCTCAGCATCTTCAGCACCAAGCAAGAGGGCGGAGCAGAAGCCCCAGCACTGGACTTATCCCTGACATCCGGGGGTGGGGTTGGGGGTGGGGGATAGG